CCCTACACGCTTGTTTCCCCGCTTCCCAATCAGTCTGTACTTTGCACGCTGTGCATTCAAAAATGTTCCTTTCCGCTGACTTGAAAGAAGCTAAAATCCACTTTGTCATAGACACCTTTCCCGGCACGGTTCCGGGTGCGGATTTGAGACAGCTGAGTCCAGTCTGAGTTGCTGACAACCTCGTCCTGCTGGGCTTTGCTGGCGCCTGCTGGGTCCAGGGGTCAGTGGGTTCAGGGAGCTGACCTCTTTTGGGTTAATTTTCTCCTAGTTCAGCACCTTGAGGTGCTTCAGGTGAGAAATTGGACAGGAACCAGTGCTGATAAAGAGGAAGGTGTGAAAGGGCTGAGAGGAGGAGAAGAGGTGAGACCCCCAGCACGGCAGGAATTACGGCGACCGAAACTGCTGTGAGGCTGCACAGTGTTTCAGAGCATCCGTGTGCTCCTTGCTGACGTGGATGCCCAAGTTCAAATTTATGTGGGAATCTTCAGATTTCAGGTAAATAAATGCTCCGTCTGGTGTTAGCCAGGGTACAGAGTATGGGTGGGAGCTTGGTGGAGCTTTGAGAAGGGCTGGAGTGAATTTGGTGGGGAAATGAGCCAAGGGCAATGGTAACGAGGTCCTGTTGCTTGGCCACCTCTGATTCCTGGTGCCTAGAAGTGGTATCAGCAGGTTTTGGTGTGTAAGCAGAGATGGGAAGCTCCCCACTGTTTATGCCAGCTGGAGCCCCTGGGACAGCTTTATTGCTTTTAGGTTGGGTAACACCAGATCTATGCAAAGTTAAACCTTTTGACCATCGAACAGAGGGGGAGCTGAGCACATGGGTTTCACAAGGCAAACGATGTCTGTGGTGGCTCCCATTGCCTCCTCCTGCAGTGAAAATGCCAAACTGCCGTTTAGCAGCACTCAGAGAATCCCATGGGATTGTAGTTACTAGCCTTTGCATCTCTTAACGCTTGTTAAGTTGGATATGGTGTCTTTACTAAATATGTGGTTTCATGTTCGGGTTTGTTGTCAGCTGCAGGTGGGTGGAAACACGATGTGAGGTCACTCTGAAACTCTTGGTAAGATAGCTTTTAGTTAAAACGTGTTTGTTTTCTCTTGTTTTGCGTAAGACTCTTCTATTAAATCAAGAAGTAAAACCTGTCTGGTGAACTTAGTGTTAAAAAGCAGTTCTTTAAGGTGTTTAGAAGAGGTAGATATTACACGAAGAACAGTTAAAAAGAAAGGATTGGGCTCCTGTAGGTGTCTGAGAGGCTGAGTATGAGGACCTGGTGTATCATCTCACTGTCCAACCTGGTCTGGGAGCTGCTGCGGATCGCTGGTTGTTCCCATGAAGTGTGAATGTTGGGACTGGGGAACGCTTTCTGCGAAAGCCTCTCAACTAGGAGAGTCTGGTGCTGTTATAGGTGTCGGGGGGGGTGGTGTTTGGGGATGGAGGGGGGGCTGGCTAGGCTGGGAAATGGCTGAGTTGCACGTCTGGTGAAATATGCTTTTAGAGATGAGTATCATGTGACGACCTGAACTTGAGCTGAGTGGTGGGGGAATGGATGTTCTTGCAAGAAAACAAGAACCCACATGGAGATCTCTATTATAAGGCCTCAGCACTGGCTTTTTTTTTTTTTTTAAGGATTACCCATCCCTTGTAATGACTGGTTTTGGTATTAACTGTCCTGAGTTTCTGTCTGAAATACTTGCCGTTGCTTTCTTCTGCATCCTGAGTGTGCTGATGCCGTTTGGCCAAGAACCAGCGTGTTGGCCCTGCAGAGCACCCTAAAGCTAGCCCTGCGTGGCGGTGGGGTGGTCAAGTGTGTTTTTTACCAACGTGATTAGCGCTCAAAACCGGCCCTGAGGCCACGGCCTCCTTCCTAGAAAGCAAATCTGAAAGGATGGGCCCACCCTCTGAACTCCTTTGTTTATCAGTTACTGTTGCTACTGTTTAAAACACACTTGCTCTTGCGGTAAAGGTTTGGCGATGAAAACAGCAAAAGCTGTAGCCTGTTGCTGCACAGATGAAGAGGTTTTGACCCCCCCCCCCCCCGTCCACGCTAGCTGAGTTAATGCGTTGGTTTTCCTAAAGTGCAGCAGCGTTCGAAACCGATGGTAAGCCGGGGAGTTTCGTGGGACCCGTTCCTGCTGTCCGTTGCTGGGAGGAGGTGATGCTTACTGCTGCCAAAATCTGAGTCCTTCTCACATCTTATGCATCGAGGCATATGTTTGGGGGTGGTTGCAGAAAGGGAGAACAACATGATTAGGTTTTTAACTTCCTCTTCTGTTTTGTTTCTCTGTGCATCTGTATTTCAGTTTTTGGGCTGTACCCAAGTCTGTGCAAAACTAACAAATCGGCTGAAGCACCTACTGATAAGGATCAGCCTTGGTAAAGAAACACACTGGGGTAGTTAAAAGGCAGTAAGTATCTCTGTGCTAGCTTGGATGCTGATTTTTTTCTTTTTTTTTTTTTTTAATTCACAAGCACAGCTTTTTATTACTTACACAGAGGGAATTTGTCAGTAGCTTGCTGGCATTAATAGTCTATTTCAGCTCTTTTCTATAGCCCAGCAGCTAGAGGAGGGGAAAAAGCATGCTTTGTATGGAGCTGTGTTTGGATTTCTGCTGCAGTGCCCATCTGAACTTGCCTGTGTCTATTTTGTCAGCTTTTGCTTCCCTCTAGTAGGTGCTGGTTCCTTCTTAAACGCATGACAACCCACCCACCATACGATGCCTGTGCTTGGATCGGGGTTGTGGCTGCCCCTGATGTGAACCAGTTTGCTTGGTGGTTTTGCTTCTCGAGCTCTTTACTGCAAACAAGATGATCTTTCGGTTTCAACTTTCTTGTCTGGCTTTTTATCGTTTACTTCTCAAGTGATCTGCAAAGGAGTAGGACTAGGACAAAACGTCCGGTGTTCCTCACCAGGAATACAGGGAGAGAGTTTTAGCTGTTGAAAAAGTGGCTGGCATTCTTGAAATGGTATGGTTGCATTTATTTGGGTGTGGATATAATCATGTTTCTGTGATACAGT